TCGTACCTGAGATGGCAGAATACTTGGTACCTATCAATAACTTGCTGAAGAAAGGCGCGAGATCGTGGTGACACCGGAAATGGAAAATAATATTCGGAAATGCATGGATAGGTTGCAGGCAGAACCCGTATTGGCGTTCCCGGATTTTGAGAAGCAGTTCAACGTCACCACCGATGCGAGCGAATACGCGTTGGGGGCCGTTTTATCCCAGGGCAGAAGTGAGGGTGAACGTCCGATAGCATACGCGAGCCGACGACTTACGAGCGCGGAATCACGGTACAGCGCGTTAGAGAGGGAGCTACTCGCGATAGTGTGGGCCATCGACCATTTCAGGCCATATATATTTGGGAGGAAGTTTCGAGTCCACACCGATCACAAACCCCTTCAGTGGGTAGGAAAACTTAAGGAAACCTCTGCGAGGGTCACGAGATGGAAAGAATTCCTTAGTCAGTACAACATGGAGGTGGTGTATAAGCCGGGAAAGGAAAACGTGGTGGCAGACTGGCTCTCTAGGGCCATCATGATCAACGCGGTAGAAGAGGACGGGGGAGGTCCATCGCGGGACGTGCGCCAATTCTTGAGGGAATGGACTCCTGAGGGTGAAGGGGCAGATGATACCGTCAGTATAGAGGACAGGGAGGGGTCCCCGGAAGAAGATAGCTCAGCGGAGGAAAGACCAGTGGCGATGGAGGAAATAGACGAAATCATCAACGACAAGCATAGACAGGTAATCTGGAAAACCAGGACAACAGGGATCATGAAAATAGATTACCGAAGATACGGGAAAAGTAGGATTCGCGTCATTTGGTCGCAACCCGGGGTGAGCGAGGAGCAAATCCGTACGGCACTGAAGGACGCCACGGAACCGGGAAAGACACACCATCTCTATGTTGGGAACAACACGGTATGGGAGAAAATAAAGCGGATGTGGAGATCCGAGCGAATAGGCATGGATAGAACGATCATCCGGTGCAAGTATGCAGTGGAAACCGTACAGGATGAGGAGCAGCAACAAGCAATTACATTGGCATACCACCAGGGGAAGACCAACCACCGAGGCGTCAACGAGACGTTGCAGGCATTACGGCGAAAGTATTTCTGGTGGGGAATGAAAAAATCTATCCAAGGAATCATCGGGAAATGCGAGGTATGTATGCGCACAAAGTATGATCGACACCCCCCCAGAGGAGTTCAGGAAGAGACACCTACAGGGAATATGCCGCTACAAGACCTCCAGATCGATACATTCACCTGGAAAGGGTTCAAGTGGGTCACGATCATCGACACCTTTAGTAAAGTAGCTATGGCACATCAGGTCATGGACAAGTCTGCCAATGCAGTTGCGGAAGCCCTACAAATCTGGATACAGTTTTACGGAGTTCCCGAGAGGATCACATCAGACGGTGGCAGAGAATTCGACAATACCGCGATTAGGGAGGAGGTGAAAAGGTTAGAGGTTGTGTGGCATTATAACACACCGGGACACCCTAAGAGTAGAGGAGGAATCGAACGTTTGCACAGCACGTTGAGTGACCACATCCGTGTATATCAGGGAGAGAAAGGGTTGGAGCCGGATGTCGCGATGAAGAAAGCCGTAACAGCTTACAACCATTCGATCCACTCCGTAACGGGGTTTTCACCTGTGGAAATACTATTCGGGATGCGCAGGCCAAGGAGAGATTGGGGGAAACAACGACCGATGAACATCTCGTAGAGCAAATCCAGAGTACTAGGGTAGAGGTAGGAAAGACGTGGGGAAAGGTAGCGGGGAGAATTCAGCGGGAAAAGGAGAAGCGGGTAGCGCGGCAGAATGTGCAGGTACGTGACCGAATGGGAGAATTAAAAATCGGAACAATAGTGTATCGTAGAATTGGAACCAACAGAGGGAAACAATTGTTACGGTACGAGGGCCCATTCAGAGTGGTTGCTATTAGGGAGCATAATCTGGTAACCATTGAAAGCATTAACGAACCTAAGAAGAGGAGAACTGTTCATATTGAACAATTGAAGCTCCCAATGTTAGAACCGGTACAGAAACCAACTGATTCGTAGTACCCTTATCGCGTATTATAAAAAAATATGTTTTTTTTATTATTATTACTGTTGATGATGTCATTTTTTTTTCATTATTTTTGTTGTTCTTGTAAATAAAGATATGGCAGCATAATAGAGGTGATTGTAATTTTTATAGGATTAAGAGTTCTGTCCATTGTTAATAAGACGTTGTGTGTTTACTTTCTGTGGTTTATTTCTTTTTATTTATTTCTCGTTCCAGCGGAGTGGAAGTGAGGTTTGGTGTACTTTAAGTTTATACTGGTACGAATAAATTGTAAAGGGTTAAGGCTGATATCGGTGGCTCCGATCTAGGAATTTATAAGTTTCCGAAAATCCTATTCGTAAACTGGTGGGGGGGAGATAAAGACCGGAGACTGGCGATATCAGCCTTAATACCATCTTGTAATGTAAATAAACATAGCAATTGTATATAAGGCAGATTATTGAACGAATAAAGTAGTGTTAATTCAGAAGCCGTGAGTATTGTTTCTCGTTCCTCTTTCCTTCTTTTTTTTTATTTACAAAGCCCGGAGACGCTTAACTTATATATATATATATATATATATATATATATATATATATAAAATAAACGAGCAACTTTTTTTCATATTTTATTGGTAATCAATTAAACAAAAACATAATAAAATGTCACCGATCGTAAAAAATATGGCAAGAGAACTGAGTTCTTCTTTTATTCTTGTACCTTTTATTCTGCATAATAAGTTACCAGAGGAAGTGTGTATGCTTCCAGGTCCGACAATGTGATCTTTCTGTTTATAAATAAATTACATTTAGTCTAACTTTAGTCCATCCAATAAGATGTAAGTTAAATCATATTGCGTTTTTTCTCTGATTTTAAATGTACTTTTCTTTTTTGTCCAGTGCAACTACCCATTGTTCCCATGCCCGTTGATTTTGCTTTAAGAGCCTTTGATATAATTATCTGATTTTTCGAGTTAAAAAACAAATCTGTGTAACTGAGAAAAAAACAATTGCGGCATTAGCAAAATTAAAATTTTCTTTGTACCAAAAACAAACAAAAAATATACCTAAATAATGTCGATTAATGTTTTCGTATTTGTTGTATATTCTACCTTGTTTTTAATTTAACATTGATTATCCAGTACATAAACTTGTTTTTCTTGAAAAACTAATGTCACGGCCATATTCAGCATAAAAAAATACCTAACAATTATGTGCCATAACCTGCATTTGATAACATGAATAATGTTTCTTTTTACGCACTTTTAGTGGATGATAAGCGCCACAGTATAACTCAAACAACATGCCAAGCATTGAGAAACTTTGATGTATGTTCTGAATATAAAAAAAAAAAAAATGAGATTCTAATTTGGAAAAATAAATCAACAACTTGTGCATCCCAATTGCGCACATTTGCACCCGGTAAATTTATGCTTCTTGTTGAATTTGAAACTTACATGAATAATTAAGGAAAATTCTATTCATCTATTTTTCTCTATCATATAAAGCAAAGAAAATAAGTGGGGCGCAAACTTAGGAGAACACCCTGTGGAACTCCGTTATCGATTTTCTCATTCCGCATAATAAATATCAAAAAATATGTAACAAGATACATTTCTCATATTTTTTTTTTAAACTTATTTATTGAAAAATATTACAATCTGTCTCAAGGATATTTATAATAGTGTTCAGAGATCACATTCAAACTCTATGTACAATAAATAAAATAAATTATACAGAAAAATAATATATATACAATAAATAAGAATAAAGTAACCTAAAAATAAATAAATAAAAAGACAATTCTATATCAAATAAAATCTATATACAATAACAATTCTTAGAATTAAAATATAAACGATTTGAGTCTTAATTCGAGTCTCTACGATGATCCATGGTGGAGTTATAGGGGATAATAAATTTGGGGCATCCGCTCCCCTCCAGCCTAAACCTACCACATTTTGAGTTGCCAACATGGAGTTTCCTATGGACAAGAATTTGAAGAGAAACAGCCGTGAGGATTTTCGCATACTCAATCGCTCTCACCGCCTAGACTATGTTATCGGTTTCAGTGTTAACGCTACAAAACTACAAAACTTTTTTTAATATTTTAGTTTTATCTACATTTTGAGCGCAGAAACAGGATTTTTTTTTCTGTTCGATAGAATATCACTTACTTGTACTTCCTACATAATATACATATTTATATATTTTTTAAATGTGTATAGGCCTTTCCTGAAAAGTTAGTGCTTAACAGTTACGTGGCTTCAAATTGAAATGTATGACGTACATTTCAATTTGCCGACACAAGGAAAATAGGCCTAAAATTTAAATTCAGTAATCATAATCTGAATCAGCTTATAATATACACGTAAGGTTTTAATATTGCTATGTAAATAATGATGTAAACATTTGTAAATGCCATTTTAAAGTATGTAAACAAACAAAATGCTCAAAGATTACTTAAATTGCCCTCCTGTCAGGCGGTCGCAGAGTGTTAGTCTTATGTTATTAAGACCTATACACACACAAACCCATATATTTTTTTTTATGTAGCAATACATTAAAGGCTTGTTGAATGAGAGGGAAGTTTATAAATATATTTTTATAAGTAATTATCTAATGTATAACCTAAAACTGGAGAACGTTTTTAAATATTAAATTTGAATAGTTAATTTCAAGTTATTATGATTGGATTCATCAATTAATTTTTTATAGACTCCCACTTCAATTGGTGGTTCCCATTCAACAAATGTTTTGTGTATTTTTACTATCTCTAATAAATTAGCCATTATCTGAAAAGGAAAATATGCCTTAAGTATTTTCAAATAATACAGGTAAAAAAAAATTAATTGTTTTAAAATCGGACAAACAGTAGAAAAAAGATAAGGTGGCCAGACTTGGCTCTATATTAGAGCGGAGTTAGTGTTCTAAATCAGTCTACAACCGGCCGTGAACTAGAGATGGCTGCCAGGATACTCTACGGTGGTGACCTGCGTCTCCCCGACATTCCTCTCATGCAGGAAGTCATCGAATCCTGGAAGAAGCATGGGGATCGAATCTACTTGGTACGTTCAGAGTGTTCTCAGTTAATTTTGCATTAGTCAATGTATTTCCGCTACCTGTAAATTCAACTCAATTTTGACAAAAACACTTAAACTGGTATCTACTACTTGAGATGCCCCATTTAAAAATCAATTATCTTAAAATGGGAGATTTGCTATTAGGACTGCTAACTGGCTAAAAATATGACCTTGAAGACTTACACAGAGTCTCATAAACAAATATTACCTCCTCACTCCATTCATATTCATGTTGCGAACGATTCTTTAAGGAATCAGAAGTTTAAAACAACTGAGATGATTTTTAAGATCCTGTATTGTCCTAATTCTCTTAAAGTAAACCCGCATTTCTATTTAGAGAAGACGATTTTCTACCGAAACGAAAAAAAAAAACGTCTTTAAAACTTTACTTTAATTTACTTTAAAACAGCCAAACTGAATGTGATGATCATTAAACGATATGTTTGTTATGGACATAATAACGGTTCTTTAGAAACAAATAAGCAAGGTGGTGTTCAAAACTTTTAAACCGTTCAGGCGATTTAGATGAGACTTGATAGTAATGTTACTTATTGGCCTATTAGGAGGAAATAGAGAAGGGGGGAAGGGAGGAATTAGTTCATTAAAATTACTGTGCTGATTTGGACGAAACTTATTATATAAATAAGCAAGGTGATGTTTAAAAGCGTTCAGACGATTTAGATGAGACTTGATAGTAATGTTACTTATAGACCTATTAGGAGGAAATAGAGAAGGGGGGAAGGGAGGAATTAGTTCATTAAAATTACTGTGCTGATTTGGACGAAACTTATTATATAAATAAGCAAGGTGGTGTTCAAAACTTTAAAACCGTTCAGGCGATTTTTATGAGACTTAATAGTAATGTTACTTATAGACCTATTAGGAAATAGAGAAGGGGGGAGAGAGGCATTAGTTCGTTAAAGTTACAGTGCTGATTTGGACGAAACTTATTATTATGTGCATACTGACCATTCTTCATTAACGAAATGTACTCCATGAAGAAGAACTTGACCTATACTTTAGTTAGGGGAACTCGGCACTTAATTGTTTGGTTATCGGGGAGGGAATGCATGATACTCATGTTCCGTATATGCAGACAAACGATTCTTCAGTTAATAGCACGCAGGGAACCGTCAGGTATTGGCAAATACGACCAAAGGTCCTCTTTCTTACCAGGAATTCTTTCATATTACTACCAATAGCGAACGAGAATTCATCAATTATTATTTTTCTTAATTAAAAACAAAACATATTGGTACTCTTCCCTTGGGGCTTACTCCATTATCTTCTATACTCCATAATAAATATGCATATAAAAGTATTCAACACATGTTTCCAAGGAAAACCACCCCAAAAATGTTTACACTGTGATGTAGCTATCGTAATATTTTCGCCATTGCGTAAGAAATAATACTTTCTGATGGTAAACCAGTTCTATTCATATGGCAAAGCATGTTATATTCATTCCTTCTAAATTCGCTTCGAGTTTGTTCTCATATGAATCATAATGAACCTCAGATCACCATACTTTGTAACCATGTTTTGTAACCTTACTAATAGTTACTATCTCTTCTGTTATATATGTTAAAGGATGACGCTAAGACCAAGAAGCAGTCTACCTTCCGCCAAGTATTAGACAACGCCGGTGCTATAAGCTCCACGATTCGTAATCTCGGCCAGGGTCCAGAAAAGATAGTGATGATCGTCAGCGACTGCACAGTCGAATCTTTAACTACAAACTTTGGCATCTGGCTATCAGGAGCAGCTACGTCGCCTATCAACCCGAATCTTCCAATAGGTAACACAATCAGTGTACTTTTTTCATTTATTATTATTATTTTATTTATTTTATTATTATTATTATTATTATTTAACTGTATCAAATAAATAAAACCAATAAATATGAACAAATTAGGAATAATGAACAGACCAAAACATGATGGTGGCACTCCTTAAGTAGTTTTACGTAAGAAGATCCTTTGTTCATCTTCTTTTCAGACATTTAGAAGGATTATCACGAATCGAGGAAGAAGCAAGTCTGAAAACAAGTGGATTTGGATGAAACTGGAGTTTATCATGAAAGCTTAGGTACCAAATCAGCGATAAATAGAACATTAATGATTTTATGAAAAAATTTATTTTGACAAAATACGGAGCATTAAGGATTTTGGATTAGAAGGATTGGATTTTGATAAGATAGGAATTTGATGGTTTGGTGAAGCCCTAAAGCGCAACTCCGTATATCGGTGGGAAATTTTAGAGATTTTATTTAGTAAAAGTTTAGAACTTTTGTCAACTAAGTATTGGAGCACCCGGAAACGCCGAGCAATTCCTTGGCATTTCAGTCTTGTATGTGGTTTCCAAGTAAGATGTTTGTCCAAGTGGTGTCCTAGGTAGTGGATTTGTTCATGAGGAATAAGTGAAATATTATTGAAGGATACTGTAGGACAAGAAGTCGTAGGTTCACTTCGGGGGATAAAGATAATTAGATGGGATTTATTGAAATTTATTTTTATTCTCTAGCTTTTACACTATTCTTCAAGGTTTGTAATATGAAATTGGAGAGTTTATAATGCAGTTAAAGGGTCATTATAAAGAGATAACTAATATGCGTCATCACAGTGGTGATAGCAGTCTCAGGCTGGATTGGGATGTCACTCGTATAATCTGTGTAGAAGTTGGGAACGAGGATACTACTTTAGAGAACGCCCGCAAACTGAGATATAGTGAACAGTAATAATATTTTTACTAAAACATAGAACAAGAGTAGAACTCATTATTAGAAATTGTTTTTGGAAGTTTCGACCAGTAAACCTAATGTCTCTAAAGTCAAAGTAATTTAATAACAATTAAGTAGATCCAGATATCTTCAGGATTAAATCTTTAATGCTACATCAAAGTTCTTAATAAAGCCTGAAAAGAATTTATCAGCTGTTGCATTCCTTATTGTACTTTGGTATTATTCTATATATCCTATATAATCGTAATCTTCGCCATGGTGGACTCTTACCAAAGCACAGGACCCGATGTCATGCAGATGCACTACCTTCGCAAAGTAAGCCGACGGGATAAGAACCGGTATATGGGTTAACTTCGGAGTTGAACCCCAAGGCCGAGGGGTAGAGTGGCTGAGTCGGCTAATGCATGTGCACAGCACCGTGCATTGCCCGGCAACATGATAACCGAAGTTAACGATAGTAAAATAATTACGAGTTCGTATCCCGGCTTTAATTCTGGCATTAATGCCCCACTCTCACCCCCTGGCCCGAGAAAGCTATAAGGTGAGGAAGGGTTGATAAAAAAAAATACTAATCACCAGTAGAGATTACGAGATAATAACGAATAACTGCGTGACGCGGGTGGAGAGAAGACCAAGAGGAGGAGGTTCTCCTGAAAAGATAGAGTGTCCGAGAGAGGTTGGGGAAACGAGACAGAGCAAAGAAAGGAGTTGATTCAAGATCGGGAAACCTAGGCTAAATATGGTAAGCGGTAACCTCATAGGGATACTTGTAAAAAGATTATGATGAAGATCCAATGTAATATTTAATTTTTTAAGGAATGCGGTAAATTTGTACAATTTCTTAAATCAACTCTAATTCTGTTTTAACAATAATCGCCTCTCTACTACAATTTGAATGAAAAGACTAGTAGTAGGGAGAGTATTGCGATCGCAAAAATTTTCGAATCTGAGTTGTCAACAAAAATACACGTTTTGAGGTCCCCTTAGTCTAAATAACCAAGTCCCGCAAAATGTTCTGTGTCTGTGTGTATGGGAACACTAACTCGACTAAAAACGAAAAGTCGTATGAAACTTAAATTGCGTATTTAAGGTTTTTATATATTTCTGATCGTACAGTAACTTTTTCGTTAAAATCGGCTAACCGGAAGTGCTACTTTATATCAACGGTGACACACATTTTTACAATCTTCTCAAAAACGGCTCTAACGATTTTGATTAAACTCGGTGTATCATTGTATAATTAAGTGTTTAATTAAATTAAATGAAATTTTCTTACTAACTATTTATAAACTTTGATTTTTTTTTTAATTTTTAATAAAAACATTTAACATCGATCGAATCAAGGCAATGACATTGTTTAAAATACTATTTCATTGTACTTGTATGAAATAAGAAGTGAAATATAAAAATGTTTCATGGATACGATTACAACCTTAAATAAATTTACTGTAGTTTAATAACTCAAGATCAGATATTATAATTAAATAGTTAGGTATCTATCGGCCGTTTATTCAGAAAAATCATCAAGTGCACTTTTAAAAAAAATAAATTAGTGGATAATTTGATTAATTTTCCCTTTCTGAAATCCCAACATTATCCACTTAGAATTAGTGTGACAAATTTTGACCTATCCATGACAGGCAATGCATGACACAAATGTTATTTATAAAACAGGACCACAGACATCATTAAATATGTAATATCTCTCATAAATTATGTAACTGCGTTAAGATGTCATTAAAAATGTAATACTGCATGATGAAAAATACCCAAATTGTAAATACCAAAAGCTATGAAGGGTGCTAATGACACTGTATTGGTAGATGCAATTGTTAAATAAGTAAACAAATTAATATCATGTACATAAAATTGAGACCAGAATGAAAAAAAAAAAAAGGATTGCTTATTTTCGTAGTCTCACCTCCCAACTATCGCATAACACGGGAAAAATACTAAGTTTATATTAATTATGTTTTAAATATCATTTATTACATAATTAATATAAATACTAACGAGCTAATATTTTTAATGTATTATATTAAAAATATTATCTCGTTAGTATTTTAACATTCCGAAAGAAAATAAATATTAATTATCTCCACTCTTAAATTAGTCTCCGCCTTCAAGTGACCTTCTCTGCTACTCCTACTACGGCCTTGAATATACTTCAACTCAAATCGTGCCGATAATAATGAAACTGGAGGAAATTACCGTCAGACAAGATTCAAGGACTTTAAAACAGCTTCTGAGAACCACAGTATAAATAATACGCTTAAGATCCCATGCTCAATAGGAGCGACAACGTGCTAAAAATCTGTAACGTGCCAAAATAAGATGCATTAAGCGACATTGGGCTAAAAGGCGTCAACTCGGAGATATAACACTGCATAATTTTAGGAAGTCCCCTAATTCATGATAAACATGCGGCATTCACCGACATTTAGCATCAATGTTATATTTTCATACATGAATTGTAGACAATTAAACAATATATGAAATTAATTAATTTGTAAAATTCGTTATAATGTGTATATATATATATGTATGTATGTATGTATATATTTAAAAGGATTTCAAAAGCATTCAAGATAACAAGAAAAAAGTTTTTCGAAAAAAATACGATAATAAAAAATAAATAAACCGGCGATATTTCCTTAAAATTGATTTGCCTTACACGAGTAATTCACGAATAATCAAATGAGATTTACTACTTATGACACTGTCACAGAGCATTTTTTTCGTAAATCTCTTTGCGTTACTCGGCTTAGCGAGGCGGATCTACGGAGAGGGAGGGGGTTTCAGGACTGAAGCTCCTCCCCCCTTCCAAAATGTTAAAATGTACCCATGTTTTATGGTAAAAAATATTAATATATTTTCCCCTTATGTATTACTGTTCGTGTAATTACATTTAACACCATTTTATTTAGGTAAGTAGTATCTATATTTTTTCCAAAGTAATTATCATTATAAATAATATATATATGACAAAAAAAAAATTCGCGCTGGAGCCCCTCCTCCCCCAAATTAAATCCTGGATCTGCTTGTGCCGTTACTAAATACTATGAACTGACCGCTTCCTTCGCATTATATCTAAAACGGTACATTAGCTTCTACCATTGTAGGAGAGAGAAATCTTATTAAAAAAGGAGAAGAAAAAAGGAAAAATGATAACGAGATAACACTATTTTTTATATTATTTATGATTTATATTATTTATTACCTATTAGCTTATTACAAGAGAGATATTACGGTAATTTGTTAGATAGGAGAAACATAAAAAAGGAATAAAAAATTAGAAGAGTTAAATGCAAAAGTAAATTGGTTACACCAATTCTTTAAATATAGTAACAAAAATTGTCAAGTATTAGTAACTATTTTGCCTCAGTTTTAATTCAAAAAATCCATTTTTTTACACACACACACACACACACACACACACACACACACACACACATGTTAGAAGATAGAAAAAGAAAAAAGTGAGATTAAAATTTTAATTTAACATACAAGGCACCTGTTTAATATCAGTTTTTATTTATGATACCGTTATCACGTTTCTAGCCAGGGAACGTTATCTCCTTGTTATTGTTTTGAGTTCGAGTAGATTTATCATGTCCCTTTAAATATTTCATCATTCGTACCAAAATGACATCAAAACTTGAATCATTTATTTAGGATGCTCTTGAGAAACAATAATTAATTATGTCAATTGACCTAGGCAGCATTTTAAACAAAGATATTATGAGACGTCCATCAACATTTTTTTTTTCAAGGCGTAATAAATAATGTACATTATCATTGGGTGAAGTAGATAAAGGAGTACTATTCTGAACGCTCTGTGAGCGGGAGCGATTTCGATGAATCCGCAAGGTCAATATGTTTACTGACAGCAATCTTATTTAATACTATATCATTATATATACCGGCCATCCTCAATTCCTTCCCCTCGCACCACTCTTCTACTAAATTAGCAAACTGTCCAGCTTCTTCTTTCAATCTGGCTCTGCTGTTCGATTTTACCAAATTGGCCAGTTCGTCCACATAAGCTGTGATGAGGAACCGCTTCTCTTCCAACACTCCCAACAACTCATCGAAGACTTTTTTTCCACAAAGCAGGACCTAGAACAGAACCCTGGGGCAACCTCTCTCCATAGATTCTTTTACTTCTCAATAGCTCGTACAAGTTGCCGGGAGCCTAATACTTTTACAACTGCTGGAGTACCCTCGAAGGCCGAGGCAATATCAAACAGAAGAATAATTTCATCTCTTAGAATAAACTAAGCATTCTCAGCAGGGCGTCTGCGGTTCTCCTACCTTTTGTAGATTTGTACTTCCGCGGAGGGCTCATTCTTGAGAAGACTAGTCTGAGGCTCGTCATCAATAGGTTCTTTAACATTTTGCTCATAACAGGCAGGAAACATATATGTCTATAAGACTGGGCTAATTGCTTGTCCTCGTCCCCTCTCTTGTAAAGGAGTCTGATGTCGGCAATTTTCCAGACTCTTGTTTGTTTATTTGGGCTTTGAGGCGCAAAACCCCAGGGTCACCAACGCCTGTTTGTTCATTATTTTTGTTTTCGGAAGCTCAGAAATTTCTCAAAATAAAAAAAAAATATATATATTAGGGGCTGGGGTAGCCTTGTGGTCTATGGCGCTTGCAATAGATAATCAAAATTATCGTGGCTAGCACTTGGATGGGTGACTGTCCACCAAGGAAAGCCACACTGCCCTAGATTCTCTCCCCCCCCCCGGGTATGTGAGCCCCGTCAACCTACTTGAGGCAACTCACACCGACCGGGCGTAGGATTGATGACCCTACCCCGTACTTTAAATCGGGAATCGGGATGTGGTCTAGGAGACCACTAGCGGTCAAAGATCTTCATTGTCTGAAAAACGAAAAAAAAAAAAAAAAAAAATATATATATATATACATAAACACGGTATACAAGTATACATTTAGATATAAATAGATGGTGTATTGTGCGTTAATTTATAATTTCGTTATTATTTCTTTTCCCTCCTTTCACTTTAGTGAAACCTTCTTCGACTATAGATTGATCTATGTCGTCTAAAGACATAAGTGCTATCGCATTGTCTGGCGAGATAGATGACGATTCCGTTACACCAGCCAGGTGACTAGAGGTACAGCCTGCATCTGGATTACTTGTGATAATGAAAACGGGATGAGGAGGAGGAGGGAGATGAGAACACACTGACCGGTGCCTTATGCGTGGTAACTTAAGAGTTATGCGTTCGGAAATAGCCGTGGTGGGAAAAGTGGGTTGGGAGAGGGGTGGTCGTTTTGTGATGGTTCGGCTCCTGTTCGGACGAGTTCATTCAGAGTTGTCGATAACATTCGATTGTATTGTCTTACCGGCAGGGTAGAGTTTATATAAAATAAAAATAAATTGTTGGTAAAAAAATTGTTTGATTGTTGGTAGAATTAGAGGCTATTGATGTATAGTTAATCCTACGATTAATTTTAATATTATTATTGTTATTGCTAATATCTTAATTATTATCACTGTTAGTTTTATTTCCTCCAAATATGAACGGGATATTGACTTACCGATGTCCTTTTTTTCGATTTTATACATCTTTTCTTTTATAATATCTGCAAACGATTTATTTAAAGAACTAGGGTATCGATCTTTGTAATATTTTTTTGCTCCTATCAAAGATACTATTAATTTGTATTGCTTTTATTTCTTTATGCATCTGAAATATTGGACAGCTGCGATCGAGTTGTGTTGTTCCTCTGCAGTTAATAAAATTAAAATCGTTAAGGCATTTCTAATTTACCGTATGTCATATTTTCCCACATTGTATACAAATTGGTTGGTTTCTGCACTGTTTTGTCACGTGATTAAACTTTAAGCAATTAAAACAAATATGACATACTTCCCATACTTCGATGGGAAATTGACTCCAAAATTTGTTTTTTTTATTAAAGTAGCTGATTGGGTACCTATAAAGGATCCATCCCTGAGCTTTTTAATATTTTTTACGTCCCGAACTATCCCCGTGACAAACTTATTAATAAAAAATGGAGAGAATTTTTAATCTTTCGTCAATTCTCTTTACAACCAGGAAGGTGGGGCCCACTTCCTGGGCATCTTCGATGGATATTTTACCTGGAGGATTTTTGATTCGAACCCGAGGTCTTTTTCTTTTCTCCAGGGGACTAGTTTGATCGGTAGAGTTATCCACCGGTCTGTATTAATATAAAATAATGGTAGAAAAAGAATATATATATATATATATATAATCAGGGGCTGGGCTAGCAAAGCCAAACGTGGTTAGCACTTGGATGGGTGACCGGCCCACATCAAGGGAAGCCACGCTGCCAGAGATTCCTCCTCCTCCCCTCCCCCGGGAATGTGATGGAGTAGGATTGATGACCCTACCCCGTACCTAAAATCGGGGATCGATATGTTGCATATGAGACCACATCCCGCGGTCAAAGATCTTCATGGTCTGTAGAGCCAAACGAAAAATATTTATATATATATATATATATATATATATAGAGAGAGAGAGAGAGAGAGAGAGAGAGAGAGAGGTGGAGAAGTCTGGTTCAGGCGGCCAAAGATCTACAAGGTCTGTAGAGTCAGCCGAAAAAAGTATATATATAATATGTATATATTTTTTTTTAGGTTGGCTCTACAGACCTTGTAGATGTTTGGCCCACTGAACAAGCCTTCTCCACCTCTGCCTATCTTGGGCTACTGCTTTTCAGTTTGCTGCATGAAGCTCAGCCGTATATATATATATATTTTTTTTTTTCGGATGGCTCTATATATATATATATATATATATATATATATATATATATAAATCAATAAAATAAATAAATCTCTTATAAAATTTAGAACAAATAAAAAGGAAATAAAAGAATATTTTTAAATTATAATATAATATATAGAGAAGAAGAAAACAAATGTAGAATAAAACGAGAGTTAGCTTATCTGGCAGCAATAGGCATGAGCTCTTTCTGCTAAGGAGTCCAAGTTCTTGCTAACACTGTTCTTGGAAATATTCCGTTTCTAAACAATCATTGAATACTTCCTATAGCGTTTCTTATATCTAATAATTTCTCTGTGTATGAATTATTTTTTTTTTTATGATACTCTTTTAAACATAATAGATGTTAGTAAAAAATAATAACTTTTTTTCTTTATTATAGAAGAGATCCTGTACTTCTTCAAAACCTGCAGTAGCGAGGTTGTCTTCTGCGGAGAAGACTACCTTCAGAAAGTACAAGAAGTAGTGTCGCGATTGGACTGGAGTGTTACCATCATATGCCCGAGCAGGCAAGATGGAGTCCTCGACTATTACAAGTGTCTGGAAGAAGGGAACAGTGCCGAAGGCACGTTGCTGGAAGGATGGTGGACTGGAAAAGATCATGCTTTATGCATCTTGTTCACTAGCGGAACCACTGGTTCACCCAAAGGCGTTGTAGTCAGGGACGAAGCTCTTACAACGAATAGACATCTTGGAATCTGGTAATAACATTAAAAGTTTTTACAACAAATATTTAAACAGTAAATATCGAGTTGAAATATATGAAATGTCAATTACTTAGAAATAATGGACAACATGATTTTGAAGTGGATTTGGTAGAACTCAAACTTTCGCACCATGTATTGTAAAAGGTTTGTCGTTTAACTAAAAACAACATAAATTATCTCAAAATTGAAATTCCACCAGATCCACCTTTTAACATTTAGCTGAATGTATTCAACTTACCACCTTTTTTTCCATACGGATTGGGGCATTTTAAACGAATTCCAAAATGAAAATAAGCTAAAACTTCAATTTCTCTAGTTCAGTTAATTCTACAAAAAGTGGGCATTTTAAACATTGACATTAAATCAAATAAAATGTTACTAATCCAACAGTTTCGTCAGCACAAACATTTATTGACATGTTCACTAACACTTAGCTACCAAATTTCATTAATAGAAATTTTTCATTTTGAATATATAAATCAAACAATAACTTAATGTCACAAAGAAATTAGGAGTGTTGGTATTTTTTAATGGGAGAAAGTTTAGTTTTAGTAAAACAATAGTTGTCCTTTTCTCTAAAATAAAATAAAAATGAACTGGAACTGAAATAACCAGATTCTAAAAATCACCACAGCTAAAAAAAAATACATGTAAAATAAGTAAGGGTTGAATTGCAATTGGCTGGTTTTATGCGAATTCTTTGTCGGGTACTTAATTTCTTTGCTTACTCTTTTATTTATTTTACTTTAGATATAAAACATCTTTCACCAGAAAAAATATATACATATGTATTTGGCACAAACAAGATTCTTTAAGGAACTCACTGGCTGAAGCAAACAGAGCTCAGAGAATTAAATGATATGGGAGGGTGTTTGAATCATTACTTTTTTAATGAAAACAACTTAATTTCCTTGAGACGGCTTATAAGTTATCGATTATTGAGAGAAAGATGATGGGACACTTTAAGGGGAACTGCCAATGTCTCCAGCAAAGAAAACAACCATGAAATTACTAGAGTAGTTGAACTCTAGGGAAAAATTGAGTCGTGGACAGCAAGCGATAAAAATTATTTGATAGTTTTTATAATTATTAATATGCTAAATCTAGCCTAAACGTGTCTCTATCCTACCACATACCTTTGGGAGGAAAATGGGTGATTTTGACACTTCCAAGTTGAGTGGCACAATGGAGAAAGTTGAAACATATTAATAACCTACCGATGATGGATAGAATATTCTTAAATAAGGTTAGACTTTTTTTAACTCTATAAGGATAGATTAACTATCCTGGTTAATCTATCCTCACTTTTCCACATCTGTAACGAGAAAGAGAAAAAAAAACACACAGAAACAACACAAACACCTGTTTACCACGTCTTATTAATAAGGGAACAAAACTCTTAACAAACTAAAAAAAACATACTACAACTTCCTCTACTGTATTGCTATAGTATTTACATAAAAAAAAATGACAACCTCTTTATGTTTTGACAACCAAAAAAAAACATGTTTCTTATCTACAGCGGTGAGGGTACTACGAATCCGTTGGTTTATGTTCCGGTTCTACATTGGGAGCTTCAATTGTTCAATTAAACTTTTTTTTAACTCTATAAGGATAGTTAATCTATCCTTACTCCTTCAGAAAACTAAGTGCTACTATCAACGAATGGTTAGTACAATATTAGTAATACATCATTTGTTATTAAATTATGTAATTTTGTTTTTGTGAGTCAACAAATGTTTTCTTTCTTTTTATCACTCAACAATGATTACAGGAAAGACACTTGGACAGATAGTTCGATAATTCTGCTGACAACTCCCGTGTATTGGATCTCCAACACGTGGATGAGTGTATTCTCCTCCTGCACCGGGTGCAAGTTAGTGATTGCCAGTCGGATGTCTGTCAAGCAGATAATGGAGACAATAACGGAGTACAAGGTAAGGCCAAGTTTCAAAATATTGTATTTATAAAAAATGTGCATTTAAGCCAAATAAGATAAAAGGGCTATTTACATAACATAAAATAATAAATGCTTAGTGTGCTTTGGTGATTAATAGTTAGCACGAATCTTGAGTAAAAGAGAATTCTGTACCTATCTGCTACCAAACTGTTAGTTGTTATTGTAAGTTGTAACATCCATTCGCGGTAACTTTGGTTTCACCTGTTGATTTCAGTGTTTAAGAGCTTATTTTTCTTTTATTGGAACACTCTATATTACTCAGTAATTAAGAGTGGCAACCATTTATTTTACTTGAAATTCAAAACATTTTACCCTACTAAGTGTGGCAACCTAATTTTATACAATTTTTATAGTTTAATTGGGTCTATTTACGAAATTAGCTCAAGTTTTAACAAATCCCAATCTATGTTAATATGACATATGTTAGAGGCCTTATCTTATACACAAATCTTAAATACGTTTCTCGACTTAAACACATTTAAGTTTTACAATCTTAGCACACGTTGCGTTAATACCCTTAAAATCTTTTCTAGGCTATTGTGGGTCTATTGGACCTGGAAATGGTTGATATTCTGTACATAAAAAATAAAATGCAAAGTAATACTTTCCAATAGGAACTACTTCCATATTCATCAGAGTACTATTTATATTATATTAGATTAGGAATGACCTTAATCGATGGGATAATCTTAAGTTATTTTGAGTTCACAATATCACACTTGGTGTTAAGTACCGAGCATTGTGTAAATAACCTATTAAGAGTTAAAGGTAAATATTCCCTTTTTGGCGGGAATTGTAAATATTCATTCCTTTCCGTTTTGTCAGGAGACTAGGTTTTTTACGCTCGTGAATTTAATTTTATAAAAACAAAACCCCGGTAGTGGATATAGACTTTTTGAGGGTGTTTAACTGTTGTTGGTAATTCGGGAACCTAATACTTTTTGTGACACAGTGACAAGAAACAATAAGAATACATATATATGAAATGTGGGACTTAGTAAAAACACTTTGAATGAATTGACTCCCCTGGTTTGTTATTCTTCAATTGTGAGGCATATAGGACAACTAATAAATAAATGACTATTCACTCCTGTATAATGAATAATTTATTTCCACAATTGTAATAAATTGACTCTATTAAAGTGTTTCAACTATAGACATGATCTTTTTAATCTTCAGTGAAGTAGACTTCTCTTCTCCGGCGTCCTTCTCCAGCTGTTGCTACCTGCTAGGTCCTTTACCTTCTTCATCGATATGAGACTTTTCAATGAATAATTTGTCCACTGCATACTTGAGTACATTTCGTAGTGCAACCTCACATTCCTATATATTCCTTCTCATTTCTTCACACAATGTCACATGTAAATACTGGGGGCTATCTACTAAAATTGGCACAGAGTTCTTCCTTTAACATTAAGTTCCTTAATATCTTTTCTGCCTCACTGAAAAAAGTAGGGAAGCTTTATAAATATAAAAATGTAAAAAAAATGTACTTGACATAAAAAACATTCATTGTCTAAAAGTGGGGTCTCCAAACTTTCTCTTTATCAAGTCCCACCTGTGGCAATGAGACCTCAACTAACTCCCCTGGACCGTGGCTTGTGATAAATATATGACTTTCAATTGTAAAATGAGTTTCCTTAGAGAAACAATTCATGTAATGAATGGTGTAGGAATCTCTTATTTGACTGATTTACTAAATTTCCTATTTTTTAAACAATTTTAAAATTTCACCATGTAATCAAAGAAACTTTCGCGGGTCGGATGCTGCTTGTAAGTAGTTTTCGACTTTTTTCAATTTTAATCCAATGGCAATCTGTTATAACATTGGAAAGACAACATAACGAACAAAAAATTTGCATTATTATTATGAGAATGAGTGGTCAAATCTCCCTGAGTGTGATCTGCTGGGCTTTAGCCAAATTCAGAGAAACTGGAAGTACCAATAGCAAACTTATTAGTGGACTTCAGCGCAGACACCAATAAATGGCAGAAATATTACTGCAATACTTTATGTTATTGCCGCAAGAAGTAACCCTTTTTGTAGTGCCCAAAAGGGCGCAACCGATAATACGCGACCTCATAAGGGAAAATTGTTCATCAATGTCTTAAAAATTTGGGCATTTCACATTTGTCCCTTCCCGCATTGTCTCCAGATCTCAATATAATGCTGAGAAGGCTTTTTGACCACCCTCCATTGCCTCTTAACCTTCAGCAACTGAGAGCAGTACTACTATGTTTATAATATGAAATTCCTTGTGAAATAAGCGAAAATGTTGGTTCATTGAGGTAGAGTGTAACAGAGGATATTACACAAATTATTAAATTTTACAAAATTCTTACAAACCGCAATCTTAAAGCAAGACCATGAAAATCTTTAATTTTATTGTTTTTAACAACATCTTTCATACAATTTCCCGAGGTCAAATATAATCATATCTGTACTTATTTTCAATATATTTTTTATTAAAAGCAATATAAAAATTTTATAGAAAATAAATCATACATAACTATCAATGTCCCTATTCATTGTTTAACAGTTTATTTGAAAATAAGAATGAGCATATTTGATTTCTTGCCTAGCTGACTTCATATGAAATTCATTTAACGATAAAAAAACAAGCCGTGCAGTTTGGTTCCAAGTTGATCCATATAAATATTAGGTTTGTTGACGTGACGAAAAACCATACTGCATACGTGCCTGATAGTTTGATGATAATGAAATCTCTTGTTGTAGCAGATCTATTATCAAATTCCATTTACTACATTTGCTCACAGTTTTTAAACCTATTTTTCTTTATATACCTTTATATCGAATTAATCAGACAACATATTGGTATAAGTTTAGTTTTTAATGATTCTTAAAGACATATTTTTCTCTTCCTTTAGCCCACTGAATGGTTTACCGGTCCAGCCATCCTGATAGACATCTGCAAGGAAGAAGATGCCGACAAGTACGACTTCTCATCTTTCGATACCATATCTATTGGTGGATCCATCCTCCTGCCCGAACATCGGAAGATGATCACCGAAAAGATGACGTGCAACAAGCACATCGTCAAGAGTATGTGCGGTAGCACTGAAACGGGATTAGTGACCTTTGAACGTGTAACCCCTGACCTCGATTCGCCCAAGTTAGCCAGTATAGGAAAAGTGGCTACTGGTGTAACAATGAAGGTATGAAATATTTTGGATCTTAAAAAAATATTAAGTAAAAAATATAACACAGTACCTTTAACAGAATAACATTGTTAGTTGATTTTTATGAAGGGTTAATTATAAGCATATAATTATATTTATAAAAAAAACAGCAGGTATAAAAAATAAACAAGGCATAAGCATTACAGGTAGGTTCTGATTAAAATATTCATAACTTAAGATCTTTTTTGTATTTTGTGCAATTAGTTCAGTTAAATTGTCTAGTTTTGGATTAGGAACGCCGTGATTAAAATAATAAAATCAAATATTATATTCATACTAAATACATAATTTTTTCTTGGTCCATTTCAGTAAATTTATAACATTAAGCTATCTGGAATATTTGTTCTTAAAATATATATATATGTATGTATGTATGTACAGTGGGAACCGGGTTTGCATGTATGTACTGAAAGCGTTTGCAATAGGTAATCAAAGTTAAGCAACGTCGAGCGTGGTTAATACTTGGTTCCGTGACCGCCCGATTTGGGTGACCGACCACCAGGGAAAGTCTTGCTGCCCGGGAATCTCCCCGGGTATGTGTGGCCCTTCAGCATACAGGAGCAACTGACATCGACCGGGCGTAGGACTGATAACCCTACCCCTTGTACATAAATTGGGAATCGGGATGTGGTTTACCAGGATGTTAGTAGCCTCCCTGAGATTTGGTCCATGGACGATCGATTTCGGGGAAAGAAATATAGGTTCTCGTGCGCCTGCTGACTCTGAGCAGCCATAATCCATGAATTTAGACCGATTTATCACTGTCCTTGACTCGGGTAAGTGAGTCGGTGGGAAGGACACTGCCAGATTGATCCCTCCCTCCGGTGGCCTGCCGCTGCACCATGGAGGCTATGGTTCATAGCAACGTTAGGTTGAGTGACGCCCTCCATCAGACATCATCTCACGGCCAAAGATCTCCATGATCCGTAGAGCCAACAGAAAATATATATATATATATATATATATATATATATATATATATATATATATACATATAGTAATAAGGAATCAGATGATTGTTTGAATTAAATATAGTTTTAAAAATCGAGGTAATTATTCTTTATTCTAACGTTATCGAAATTTACCCTATAGTTCCGAATCACGAATATAATCACGAAAGGCTATCTTTACTGGAGCAACAACGAAGGTTGGGTGGTTGTGAGTGCGACGAGGAAAACGATTAACTTTCTATGTGTCCACTGTTAAGCTGCCAGAGTACCAAAATATTTTTCATCAATATCAATATACTGGTTATTGATGTTACATAATAGTACATTGATGCATACTAAAGTGATAATCTATCTCTGTTTGATGAACTATCTTACATCTTTTTTGTCCTGATGGAATCTGCGCTTAACCATTGTTAATTTATTTCACAGTATTTTATAGATTTAAGAAATAGATATCAACCGATAATATTCAATCAATATTAATCACAATAAATTCTTAATGGAACGGCCTATACACTAGAAGGAGAAGAAAACTGTACTATATGCAACCTCCAAAAGCCAGAAAATTTATATTATTTTTTAATAGAATGTCTAATGTACCAATACAGTTACATAAATACAATGACTATAATATACACAAAATGGCACAAACCAGAATCTCTCAAATAAATTAGGCTTGGAGATAAAACATAAAAGCGTTTGGGAAGTTTTTATTTATTTATTCCTCAGAAAAGCGTGAAATATCAAAGTTGTCGATATTATTTTTAAGAGCAATAATTTAGCTTTCCAATGGTTAACAAGTAACTCGACTTTGTAGAGTGAGAAAAATCTGAGGAGTTATGAATATTTTAGTAAACGGCATGAAAACAAATTCTCCCATAAAATGACGTTCACAAATTTATGATTTATTAATTAATTTAAGATGATCACAAAAAAACAAACTGATTGATATATAATAACTTATAAATCCATTCAGCGTAAAGTCAGTAAACAGCAGCATAAAAAATAATAACATTTTATAAATTTTTCTTGGCTTCGAGGGTGCATTGGCAAGAACTCTCGGACATGGGTGAAATATGTTTCGACCTAGTATCACCAAAAAAAGTTTCATTGAAATCGGTGACCCCAGTTTGACGTCTGTACCAGAAACGTTTCTGAATGTTTCCTAGTTATCAAAATAACAAATGAAAACATTCAGCTTTGTATAAATATATCGTTTAATTTTTAAAATATGTTCCTAGGTGGTGGATACGGAAACTGGAAAAATACAGCCACCGTACGCTGTAGGAGAGATCTGCGTCAAATCAGACGGCGTGCTAAAGCGATATATCAACAAGGAATTCACGGAAGATGATCTGGACAAAGATGGCTTCTGGCACTTAGGAGACCTCGCCTATTACGATGATGACGAATACCTCTTCTACAATTCCAGGCTCAAAGATGTGATGAAGTACAAGGGTCAACAGGTAGGTTAGTTACTAAAACGTAGGCTTAGTTTGTCATTACTGAATGGTCTTTCATATCAATCAGCTCTTATCCCCATTGATGTCACTTTACAGGGCTTAAATGCCTAATGTTCACATACGTCTTACTCTAAAGTACTTTTAATATGGTTTATTGTATTTCATTATTTAGAGTTACGATAAAATGCTCAGTATAACGTTTGAAAGAATTTGATGATTGAATAAAGGGAAAAAAAAATGCTTACCCAGATCGAAAATGAATCTCCGGAAATATCTACGAAAAACATTTGAAACATAAAAATATATATATACAGCTGCGTAAGATTTGTGATCGGGGCCCCAAGATACTCCCATGTTTCTCACCACTACGCTGAGTTAAAGTGGCTTTTCCCCTCCTTCCGAAGACAATATTTCCTAGGTACGTTCCTCTACCAAATCACCAACAACCATCGTCCTTCTTACGCCTACAACCATCTCCAGTTCAAATCCTCAGTCCATTCCCTGTCCACAAGATCTCGACCTTCTAACCTTTACATGCCTTCTCACAGATCTGCCTCATTCCAAAATTCCTTTATTGTTCGCTCTGTCAATTTCTGGAATTCCCTCCCTATCAAAACTCGACATTCCCCATCCATATCCACATTTAAAACCCTCCTATTCCAATTCCTATCCCAAAAACAGTCAGATAGTTGCTAACCATTCGGGCTGATTTTAATAGAGAATTTGATACAGTTTTATTTTTTAATTCTTTATTATTTTCTTAAAAGTGTATACTGCTCTATAAGTGCAAATAGCTTTAAGTGTCTTGTCATAGTATTAATGGTTATATAGTTTCGTTTGCTTTGTATATAGAATTTTTATCTTACATTTTTTTTACATTATTTCGTTTTTTCGATTGATATTATTTTGGCCAGATGTAATATTTTAATTTTGTTCTATTTTGTTATTCTCAAGGGACTGTGTCCCACAATAAAGTTATTTTTCTATTCTATTTTATTCTAAATAGCTTAATGTACTTATATTATTGAAAGCAGATGAGCAATCGAATCACAATATTGCACTATCCAGCCTAAGAGAAATAAAATAACAATAAGTAGATAAATACAATTGGAAAGGGACGTTCAATTAATTTTATGTTAGAAAAAGAAAATAAATTATTTATACATGTTACTGAAGAGCTTTGAATGAACACTCGTACATAGAATACAAATACATATGATACGGAATCTTTCCAATCATAAAAAATAAAAATAATATTAATCTCAAATACATAGAATCTATAATATTATAAGAAATAGCCACGTAAAATAAGATTCGGACTGTATATTTGTTATTTTCAATTATGACCATTTTACAGATCGCTCCAGCTGAACTAGAAAGCATCCTCCTGAAGCATCCTGATGTCCTGGAGTGTTGCGTGGTTGGAAAGACGTGTATCGAACAAGGAGGAGAACTTCCTACAGCTTTCATCATCAAGAAGCCTGGTTCTAATCTTTCAGAAGAAGAACTTCACACCTTTATCTCAGGTGAGCAAAGCTAATGAATTCCTCTTTCTTAAAACTAGCAGTACGTACGAATTTTTTATATTGTTTTAATTTGCTTCAGATAAAGTTATCGATGAGAAGAAACTTCGAGGTGGAATCTTCTTCGTAGATAGCATCCCGAAGAGTCCAGTTGGTAAAGTCCTGCGATATGAACTAAAAAAACGACTTACTTAAGCAGTTATGTTAAGTTGTGTTGTTAAAATAATATCTAGTCCGCCATCATTCTTTACCCATTATGCATTTTTTTTTTAGAAACAGGAGCTGATTCCTTGTATAGTGATTAATTTATAATATTTGTAATATTGGTGAACGACAAATTGTGATAATAAAAGTTTAAAACATGAAGTATTTTATTGTCAATTCTTTTTTAATACTGGAGATATATCACAGCAATAAATAATATCATTATCATAATTTTTTCATACAATAATTCAGAAATCTTTGATTTCTAATATAAAATGTGTGTTGATAAGGAAGGATTTTTCTTGAAACCAGGATTTAAAATTTTGTTATCAGTATGAAAGATTCCAAAAATTCAAATTCAAATAATGCACCAATATTTAATCTATATAAATAAAAATGTAAATGTTCTTTTGTTCAAAACCGCTAATCTCCGAAACTTCTTCACCGATTGCTTTGAAATTTTGACATAATGCTTCTATTGGATTCAGGAGTGTTTTTATACAGGAGTGTTTTTATATATTTAATTTCCCTCCGGCCTTACATAGGAGTTTTCATATAAACTTCTGGAATGCCTGGAAATCTACAAGAGAATATCGACTACATCAACAGATGGGCAGAAATAAATGAATTAAAGCTAAATACAGATTAAACTAAGGTAATTCTTGTTGGGTCCAGACATCTCACTAGATCATTTCCTTACTTGCCTCTACTTTACCTTGATAACCGTCCTATTCATTTTTCTCTACAGTCAAAAACCTAAGAGTAACCTTTGACCAGAACCTCTCCTGGAATAACCATATCTCCCAAATTATCAGGACATCCATAACTGTCCTTAAACAACTCCTAAGATTTCATGATTGTATTCCTCGAAAAACCAGACAGCTCCCTTATATCTCCCCACTTAGACTACGGTTGGTTAGTGTATGGAGGGCTATCTGCCAGGCTAGAAATGAGACTGAAGAAACTGTTTCGTAAGATACATCTTCGAGATCGCCAGGCGTTCGTATGTTTCATTCTGGTACACTGAGTTAAAGTGGATTTCTCCTAATTTCCGACGACAATTCTTCCTTGGTGTTTTGCTTTTCCAACTGCTCAGAACCAAAAACCGTCTCTACACCCTGGAACTCCTTACACTACACTCCTCTATCCAGTCTCTTAATACTAGATCTCATTAACACTTATTACCTTTAGATTTGTGTGTCCCTTCCCATTAAAGTACTTTCTTCAGCAAATCATACGTCATTCGTGCTACCTCCTTTTGGAACTATTTTCCTACCTCCATACGTCAATCATCGTCCACAAATTCCTTAAAAAACAACTCCTGTTTCACCACCTACTCCACATTGAAACTTCCGCTAACATGTAAAATTATTTGTATCTGTATACTGTTTAATTTCAATCAACTGCACAGTTGCAATAACAATAAGTAGTTACTTAGTTTGTAGTTTTTATTATCTTAAGCATGACTAATACCCATAATTTTGTAACATTGTTATTATTCTTAGGGGATTATATTACCAGAATAAAATTATTTTTTCATTCATATACATTTAATTACCCTCCGGCCTTTTGGCGTTTTGAAAAGGCGGCCGAAAAACCTGTTTCGTTATAGATAGTAGTGCTTAAACGGTAACGATTTTAATTAAACTTGGATTAAGTCTTCTCTCTGAAGCCTTTTTAATTTATGTATATGACATCCTTCCACGAAAAGATTATGAAAAAAAAGTTACGATGGATTTAGAACTATATTTACGAATAACTCACAAAGCACACACTTTTAGATTGATTATACCTATGATTATCTGAAAGCTTCCTGGATTCCCAGCAATAAAAAAAATCACTAAAATCGAACTATTTGGTGCTGAGATACAATGTATTTAGTACATTGTAAAACTTAAACATTTAGTACTTTTTCTTCGGAGATTTAGATACTGATTGCTTTCACACTGACAATTATATTTTTGGTATTCTAGAGTTGTAAAACCACCCAATCTCTATATCTATACAAAATAATAGTATTGTGACACAAAGTATTGTGAATTAGAATATATTAGAAACATCTACTTTCTTTATTATTTATTTTTCTTTTCAACCAGAGCAATGTTTTAAGAGGTTTACTGAACGTGTGATAAAAGAATAGATACATTTAATTAAAGAATTATAAACAAGTTAGCAACAGAGAGATTAAATAATAAAATGTTTAGAATAAATATTCATCGACTCAATGAATCGACTCAACTACAGCAAGCACTGGTAGAATGGGAAGAAGAGTATGAAAATAAATGAGGACATATACCCTATAAAGATATTAGAGGCTCGAACAATAGGGAAGAGACCACGAGGGCGTTCCAGGGTTTCATATTAGTTCATGCAGAGGATCGGAGGTAGAAGGGACAAATCCTTCAACCAAATAAAGCGTTTAACCAGAGACCGGGAAGAGTGGCTGCGCTGGATAGAGGCTTCTCGATGCTAAAAATGGCATTGTGAGGAAGAAAAAGAAGAAGAAGAAAAATATTATATGACCACACTGTAAACTCAACTTCAAGGTGAAAACTAACAGTTTCACTTGTTTTCATACCCTCCGATTTTATTATCGAATATGTGTAACATACGAAAATACCTGCTTGAAAATATTGTATATAAAATCAGTAAGTAAGAAAAATCAAAGTATGTATAGCGCCGCATGAGTTTTCAATTTAGTTACAATCGAATTGTGGATATGATATGATTAGAAGATTGATTTAAACTAAAAATAAATTGGAATTATTTGTTTCTATTTATTTACTTTTCTTTATATAAGGCATTCATCCCAATAACCACCTGAAGCCCAAAGTCAGTCTTGGGCCCCAACCCGCTGAAACCACCTTCAAATGCAGCTAAGCTGACACAATAAGTAGATCTTATTTCTTATTATAGATTATATATACAGTAGCGGCCTCAAAAATTCGGGAAAGATTAAATGAGTATGGATTAATGGTTTTTCATCCAGTAAGAGGACCAGAGTTGACCAGAACTCGCAGAGTAAACACGGCTTGCTTTTACTCGAGAACACAGCCAATGGACTATGGACGAATGCAGTGCTGTACTTTTTACAGATGAGTCAAGATTCGCTCTTCGATCTCCAGACGGGCGTAAAAGGGTGTGGAGAAGAAGAAACGAAAGATATGCAATCTGTAATTTTTCCTAGAGCCAACCTTTCCAACGTGGTTCCTTAATGGTGTGGGCTGGGATTTCTATGGAGCGCCGCACAAAATCTGATGAGATTTTGGAACCTCATGTGTTCCCTATCCTCAACGAAATCGGCGATCGTTCTATTGTAATGCACGATAATGCACGCCCACATATTGAAGTTTTAGCCTGGACAGCATGTTCTCCAGATTTGAACCCCGTTGAGCATTTATGGGATAACCTCAGTAGACGAATAAGAGCGCGTGCAACACTTCCTGATACACTGCAGGACCTTGAAAAGGGCTCTTTGGGAAGAATGGGCTATCCTCCAGCAGAGAGGTGGAAAGTATGCCGAGGCGTCTTGAAGAAGTAGTGAAGGCAAGAGGAGGAAACACGCGTTACTAAACGATGATGTAATTAATTTCTTTTAGAATAATAATGGTTCGTTTCTCAATTTTTTTTTCTCTAATCTTTCTTACCCAATCATATTTTGATTATAAAAAGGTAAAAAAGATTATAAAATTCCATAAATACTAAGTATTATCTACAAATACCATGTATTATATACAAATACAACTTTTTTTAAAAGTGGGTAGAATTTTTTGCCTATCAGTTTAGTGCTGAATTAAGGACCGTATATGGAGATTTTGATGTTGATGTTGAACAGCGAGGAATGGCGATTTATGGACAGGCTTTGACTCTATAAGTGGATCGTAACGCCATTTAATAATAATAATATTAAATTAGTAAAGAATAATAAAAATATTCAACGGAATCAACGTTCCCAACATAAGAATCAAAAGAATTAGGCAAATGCAATTCAATTAGTGTACATTATTTATGATGTTGTAACAATCTCGGTTGTATATCACATTAGCGGATCTAGGATTTGATTTTGTTAGGAGAAGTGCTTATTTTGTTATTTATATATATAACACTAATTAATCAGGAAGAAAAATTAATGAACTGTAAGAACTGAAAAAAAAAGTCGGTGATTACAGGAGCCATAATGCTTTTTGAGAGGAATTATTTACATTTATTCTTGCTTATATTTAATGTTATATAATGCATCACATAACTACAAAGATGACATATTGAGATTGTGTTAGTTTTTAGCTTAGTCACTCACAAAAATAAATTTAGAACATGAAAGAAATATTATCTCTCGGTTTGTTACGTAATTTTTCTTTAAACGTTTTAATTAAATCGCACTGTAAGTTACTTCGTTATCATGTCAAACTTTGGCTCATTTAAGCCGGCATATATGATTGGAAACTTCTTCAGACACTATAGCATTTCAGGAGTATCATGACTATCCTTTTAATAATCTAATCTTGGCTATTCGCATATTTTGTTATTTCTTCTCTGACTAGATAGATTTTAAGTTCTTTACACAGAGCATCGTTTCAACATACCAGGGTCCAACAACAATACTTCTAAATGCTTTACATTAGTACAACCCCGTAGCTAAATCTCGCAAGTCTGCACTGGTTTCAGATGTTTTTAGTACAACAGCAACTATTCGTTGCTCAACGATTTGTTGTGAATTTGTACCTAACAAATAATGCATTTTACTGAATTTTATGTAAAGTCCCTCTTTCTTCTTTTTCAAATGTTTCTTCCAGTTTGTTCTTGCAGCCAATGTCATTCCTTGATATTTATCAGTATTCGAATATACATTTTAAGTCATTTAACTTATAGCATTCTCTTTCAATATGATTCTTTGATTTAAATGCTAGCGGACTGTATTAATTGTGTCTAGGATAAACTAAAGAATATGCGGTAGTAAATTGATTACTCTATTTTAATTTATTACTCTACTT